TGGTGGCACTGAGGGAGCTGGGGAAAGGGCAAAGCAAAGGCTCAGCAGTGCCAGCCATGGGGCTCCTGCGCTCCTGCCATCCGTGTCCATCCCTGGGGGACAAGAGGAGGCAGAGGGGCTGGGGTGCAAGCAGGCACATGCTGGGAGCAAGGATGGGAGCTGGGAGGCGCAGCTCAGGGCTGTGCTCTTGGCCTCTCTGCTATCTGGCCTCCAAAATTGTGTCCTTCCCCCCTGCCCCATCTCCTCTCACCTCAGGACGTCTGTGAGGGTGGCCAGCCCTGGCCCTTGCCTCCTGGCCCCGACGCAGAGGAAGCGGTGCCTGCCGGGGGCCTGCCTGCCCGGAGCCGTGATAAGGCGGCTGCTGCAGGGCTGCGGCCCTTCCTGCAGGGCTGGGCCGCCCAGGAATGCAAATCCTGCACAAACAGGGCTGGCACGCAGGGCCAGGGCCCGGCCTGCCACGGCCGCCGCCGCATGGCCCCGTGCTTTGCACGAACCCCCCCAGAACTGGCCTCTAGCTCTGCTTTTCATGGCCCCCCAATGCTCTTCTCCCCAGGCTAACACATAGAAGGGAGGGATTGCAAAAACTACGGGAGAAGATGGTAAATTTGGGGATGAGGAGAGAGAAAGCACAGCAGGAAGTGGGGGACGGTGATGTCCAAGTGGATTGGGGGGTATTTTGGTGCCAGCTATTGCTACCCACAGGCTTTGGTTGCAGCAGCAAATTGCTCCCAAATAGGGAGCTCCCTGCCACAGGAATTTGTGCCCTTGGCCAATCCACATATTCCTCTGCTTTGGAGCACGTTGCCTTTTTAAGAGCGGACACCTGGCTGTTCCCAGGGTCCCTGGGCAGCACCATGGGAGCCACTGACAGCAGCAGTGGCACTCTGGGAAGAGGAACTTGCTGAAAAGGGGGAAATCTGTCAAAAGCAAATTAGAGAAGGCAAAACTGGTCACACACTTGGAGATGAGGTCAGAAGTGATCTGTCCCGCAAATGAAACGGCCTGCCGGGATCCCATGCTTGCATGAACCCAGGCTGCTTGGCTGAGGTTATCTTAAAACATGAATTTGAGAACAGGAAATACCGCTCAGATGAAGGAAATGGAAACACAAGAGCAGCTAGAGCAGCTCCCACCAAGAAAGCAGCCAGTCCCAAGGGCTGTCTCCCACACCAGCCATAAGGGGAAGAATAAAAAGGGTAAGAATACATGAATATATGGAGAATGTATCCATCAGCTGAAGGACGCCCTGACGTACGGTTAGAGCAGCCTCAGCTTCCACACACTGCTTTATGTTTATCTGCACCAAATTTCTTCTGCCACCTCCTTTCACAAGGCGGGAGCAGCACCAGCCTTTGTCTATCCTACCCTAAACTCTGAGCTCCAGCAAAAGACACAAGCTGGGGCAAGTCTGGGGTATAAAACCCTAGAGCAGACCAAAAGGATTTGGCTCAGCAGCTTCCTACAGACTCCCAAAATTGCAACCCCATTCTCTGCGCTTGGCTCGCTGAGTGGCAACAACACGAGTGGGGCGCAAAGGGCAACTGCAGCGATAGGAAGCTTTTCCCACTGCCCCATCCCGCTGCTGGCCTTGCCACGGCTTTGGCTCTTGGGCCGCGCTCGGCCCGGTTTCGCCACAGCTATTTGCCACCCTTTCCAACCTCTGTAAGCAATCCTGCCTTAATACATCCTAAATAATCCAAACAGTTTATACATGGGCAAAGGAATGGCCTTTTTTCAGGAAAATACATCCTGTTTGGTTTAGCAGGGTCCATCTAAACAGTTTAAAAATAGCCTGAGGTAAATGCTGTGAAATGGTCCTCACCGAGACAAGCAAAAGCTCTAGCTCACCCAAATGAATCAAAGCTCTTGAATGCAAATTCAGTTCTTTTTTTTCCCCCCCTCCTTTCCAGGATATCAGTATTTAAAGTAATAAAGAAAAAAGAATCCTTGGGATTTAGCAGCCAACATGCAAGAGATGGTTCTGTGCTGGGGCGCTCTGCCTGCCCCTTCACCTGGCAAACACAGGACGATGCCCATCTGCTCCGAGTCTGATACCACATCTCTCTATGCCCAAAAGGCTTTGGGGGCTAAAACTGCTTTTTACACTATGGGGAGGAGTTTTGTGGAGTCTGTGACTTCAAACAGGGCAAGTGGCCACAGGAATTCCTACTTTCACTGTAAAAGACACCCTAGTACTTCCACGTGTAAGTGAGCATTTGCAGAGAAAAGCTCTAGCGTGGTAACAAGGACATTTACAAACATGACAGTGAAGCTAAAGCCATTTCCAAATGCTCAAGGCGTAAAGAGAGGGATTTTCAACATGTTTTGCAGCTGTACAATTTATTTTCACAAAAGGGGGAACTCTTTGCAGATATAACCTACCTGCAACTTTTGTGTGTGGTTCAAAACGTAGCATTTCAGGCTGTCTTTTACGCCTGCTCTTGCAGGCAGGCACCAAGAGGCCTTTCTCCAGCCTCCTCAGTTCTCTTTGAAATGCTTCATTTCCAGCTTGTTCCCATTAACTTTTAACACTTAGACATGCCATGAGAGCTGTAAAACTTACTACGCTGTGAGTTTTCCTATTGCAGAGCTTTGAAATGACCACACTGAGACTCATCACAGTGGCTCTGAGTCAGAGCGCCCAAGCCCACGGGCAGGCGCACGGCCTCTCCATCCGCCTCCACGGAGCTCGAGCACGCAGGGCAGGAAGCCCCACGGCGCCGGCGCTTGACGCTTGGCCACGGCATGGGAGCCGGGCAGATGGTTTATAGATGCTCTTCAGGCTTTGTGGGGAATATCTGCTCCAAGGATGGACCCCAAATGGGGCAATAGCGCCAAAGGGAGCCACCACGAAACCTATAAGCTGCTGTGATTCCCACAGCTGCACTGGCACATGTGCTACTGCAATCCACTCCCGGGCGAGCGTAGCTGGGGCCTTGCTCATAGGACAAGAATTGTCTTGTGTCTTTTTATTCTCAGTTCATCTGGAGGTTGAAGAGGAAACAACCAACCGCTCCTGCTTCCTACCAGACTTCCTGCCTCCCAGCTCCCCCGCACAACAATGAGCCCATGGGTGGCCTGAGGAGCTTCCGGCCTCGGCCCTTCTGCCCAGACTGCTGCACAATCCCCCGTCCCACGTGTGGGCCTTCCTGCAAGTGACCACTGACTTCTGCCTTGTGCTTGCTGGCGCCTCCCCACACTGTTGGTGGCCCGGGGCAAGTGTCAGGCCAGCCTGCTGGTCCCGCTGGGTGGTCACCTCGGGCTGCTGTGCCCAGCTCACGGCACGCCGACACTTTCGCCTCCATCCCATTACCAGCCACGCTCTGAGCCAGAGCTGGAGCCAGAGCGCAGCAGCTGGCGCCCAGGATGCAGCCTCCGATCTCGCCCACATCCCGACGGGCACTTGGCCACAGGAACAGACTGGAGAAGAGAGCAGAGGGGACCGACCCTGCACCACGAGGAGATGTCGAAGATAAATAGGTCACCTGCAGAAGGGAAGCTGCTGAGAGGGATGCAGCAGCCTTCAAACCCATGAACAGGCACCTGCAGGAACAAATTTTTCATCCTGAGAGCCAGGCTAGGAGAAAGCTGCCTAAATTGCAGGAAGGGAAACATTAGAGAGTCCAGCGAGGCCTGGGAGGAGGTGAAATCTCCAGCACTGATGGGCTATTAAACACAGCAAGTAGCTTTGGGCACCAGTGCAGTTGATCCCTCGAGGCCCAGTGGGCTCCAGGAGGGGTTGGCAGCCTCCCCGTAGCAGCGCAGGATGGACAGTGCGGGTGAAGCCCGGGTGGATGGGAATGAGGCAGAGGCCGGTGGCTGCACCGGGGCTCAGCTGGCCTCGTTCCCCACTCACACGGCATCCCGGGGCCCGATGGGCACCCTGCCGCCCTGTGGGTCTGGAGTTACGCTGAGCAATTTGGCCCTTCAGTATCTGAATTCCAATTGCCTCATTACAGGCTGGGCTGAAAGACTCAGGAGGGGAGGGAAAGACTTCTGGGGCCATGGGAACTTATTCTTTGTTTCTTAGGAAGCAAAACTTTAAGAAAACCCAGATTTTTACCAGCATAATCCTTCTAATGGGATAAGCAAAACCCACCTGGAAAGAGGATCACGGAACTCTGAAGGCTGTTAGGGCAGACTGAATCCTTCCAAAATTCACTGCTTGCTCTTGGGTCCAGGTCACAGGCACGATGTTCAGACAAAGCAGCCCAGGGGTTATCTCATGCGGCTGCTTAACACTGAAGCGCAGCACTGTGATGTGCGCTCGAAAGCACCAGTCATGGGGCTTGAAAACAGGCACGCATTCATGCCATGGTGAAGGAATCCTTCCAGCGTCTGGATAATGCACTTGCATATTCCCCAGGACTAAACAGCTTGCCCTGAAGGACTGCTACATTGCATCCATCTAAAGCATTCTTCATCCCACAGTAAAATTATCCCACGCATCCCAAGAGCCCTGGAACAATGGTTTGCAGACCCCAGAGCCTGCCGCCTCCGCAAACCAAAGGAGATAGCATGGGCAGCACTCATTTTTGTGTAGGGTCTCAGCCATCACAGCGAGCTGCAACAAGCTGCCTTAGCCACACAAGGAGACACAGACAGCAACTGTAGCCAACATCCCACCCCCCTTCTAAAATCTGCCTGGCAGACTGCAGGCTACAGGGGCCCAGTGACAGGGAGCCGGTGCCCAGCAGACTGCGGAGCTCCTGCCTGCCCTTTTAGCTTGGGAAGGCTGATGCCAAGAGTGCTCTCCTGAGAGGAGAGAAAAAAAGTCGGAATCATCTGAAAAAAATGATTACTGCTTTTAATTAACCAGTGGAGTGGGCCCAGACACTCATGCATGGGAGAAAAAGCACTCTGGGGAGTAGGCCCAGTCCCAGGAATTCTTTGGGGTGTATGGCTCACGCTGCTAATGACCTAGCTCCATATGAAAAAGGATGCCCCGTGCAGAAAGGCAGCACCACAAACCCCTGTAGAAAAAAGCAAAAATTACCCAGCAGGATGAGAGAGCTGGGTGGCACTGAGGAGCTGGACACAGGCACAGGAGAGGCGAACAGGCAGGGGAAAGCAGGGACACCTGAGCCTAGCTGCAGTTCTTGGGCAGACGATAGACACCTCCGGAGTAGATGAGCTGCTGGTCCCGGACTTTTTTCTGGAGGAAGCCCTGCAGCTCTTGTATATCGATTTCTGTAACCACTGGGCCGGTCATCACAAACATCTTCAGCATGCTGTGAATCCTCTCCAAGGACAGGCTCTCAAGGTTGGTGAGCATTGCTTGGATGTATGTCCAAAACAGCTGCAAAGGGGCAACAGTAAATCACAGTCATTCTCAACACCGAGAGAAGATGGGTGCCTTAGCATCCTGTATCCTCCAGGCAAACACAACTGTGATGGGCAATAAGTTCTGCTCTCAGCTATGAAAGCCTGGCCCTTAAACAAGAAGCATTTGTGATCAGCATCAAGTATCTTCGAAAGCAGGACATGGCCTGAGGTGTGTGCATGACCCTCGGTGGACACACACAGTTTAGACCACCTATGTGTGCCACACTGGCTCTATCCATACAACAAGAGAGACCAGAGGAGGAAAAGCCACTGAAGTGTCTGGGAACCACAGACAGAAAAGACAAAGGTCCTGCTGTCAGGACCGAGCAAGTTTTTTGGCTATTTCTCAAAAAAAGTTGTTTGAATGAACCCAAGTTAGTTATGGTTATTTTCAAATACAAATTCAAATCTCATACTTTCCCTTATTTCATTAACAACAGTATTCACAATGGCCAAATGGCTGCCTGGCTCAGACTTTTCTGTGCTCCTGTGATCATAAACTGAGGGAAATCCAACTTGGAAAACCTCTCAAGGTGGCCTTAGTCACTGCAGTGTGCAGTACACATCAAATCCACCACCTGAATCAGACAGACCAGGGCATCCAAAAGGGGTTTCTTCTGAATTTCAAGTTAGCCTCCTAAGTAGCTGGCTGATAGCACCACCATCCTCACTTTCTCAACATATCAAACTCCCTTGAGAGTTTAGTCCCTTTTCTATTGTAAAAAACAACAACAAACACCCTTATCATTCATCCTAAAATCATTTGTCCAGAATTTTGAAGATGAAACAATCATAGGCTGGCCAGAAATACCCCCACCGCTTCCCCAAAACCAAAGCCACCAGACCTTTGCAATGGCCTGCTGCTTTCACAAGCATCCAGATAAGTACCTGCAGCTCTTCCTCCTTTTGGTCAGCCTGTGATGCCATGGCAGAGTCCCCCTCCTCATCACTGTCTATCAGAACCACCTTCTCCAGCTGGTCCTTCTGCTCCTCCTCAATCACAGTGAACGTGCCCTGGGGATCTTCACGCAGGACCCCCTGCTGCAGCCACAGGGTCATCTTGCGCTTCAGTGATGTCACTGGAACCTTGAGCACTTCACTCAGCTCGGTCAGTGTCCATGTACCTGCAGAGACCACAGATAGTGCAGGGAGGACAGCACTCGGTAAAGGCTGCCACTCTTTACCCCGGTCAACAAGTGTCCCAAGGAAAACACTCAGGACACCAGCTCTCCCTGTTGCTAAGTCAAGTTTTACTAAGAGGATGGGGAAGGCAGGTGACCCACCGGCACGAGCAAACAGCTACACATGGTGACTGCCTGAAAGATTTCACTGGGTCACCCGTCTGGGTGCTCAGCTGTGTCCTTCTGGCCACAGTCTCCTAGGAGAGCTGGATACTCGGCCAACTTCTATGATAAATCCAAATCTACGAACTAGGACTTGCTGTCCTTGCCAGGACTCTCCAAGGCCTACTGCCACCTGAACAACGTGGCTTTCCCACCCATCCATAGGGATCACATGAACGCAGGTGACACGCTAGGTGTCTGCTGTGTCACTCACTCTTGGTCTGGAAGTGCAAGATGATGGCAGCATGCACAGGAGACACAGACAGCGAGAGGGTGCGATCCGCCAGCTCCACGTCCAAATTCACCAAGCCCAGGTGGTACTTCCAGTTCAGGGTCCTCATGGCCTGCAAAAGCAGCAAACAGCCACTCACAGCAGATCCCCTAACAGGAATCGTCAAGCTCTGCATTTCTGCAGATATCTCCCTGCCTTCATCTGTGGCAGACAGAAGCTGCTCTCCTCATGACGACAGTATCACTCTCTCTTGTAGGCTGAGGATGATGTCAAATACCAGGAAGGTCAACAACAATAACACCCCAAGAGACCATGCTGCTCTTGGGCTGCTGTGTAACTCTTCTAACTAGTTTCCTGCACTCAAAAAACCTCAGGTGGCATCCATGTCTAGCACACAGCTACAGCAGAAGAGACAGGCCACACATCTAGACACAGTCCACCAGGCTGGGAAGTGTATACCTGATGTATAGCAACAAATTCAAGAAAGCATATGCAAAAAACAATCAGAACGCAAGGGGGAGGAACAGCAGTATGGCACACCAAATTGTATTTAGATTAGTTGCAAAGACCTTATCTATATGCACAGTACACAATCTTCTCACCTGGTGGAGTGCAGAGCACGTCACTGGATCATGGATAACTCACATCTATCTCACTATCCCTAACAAACACGGGTGTATTTTCAAAAACTATCTATCAATATTGCTATGCAGGTACCCCATAAAGAGATAAATCCTCCTTTTAGCAATAGCAAAGCCAGTGCAGCTTCTAACCCTGTTTCAGGGCTGAAGGGCTTTAGCCTTTCATACAGCCATATTAACAGTTAAAACAGTAAAGGACGTTAAAGGAAATTTTGTAAAGGCCATGAAAAAACATGCTATACGGTTGAGTCTGAACAGCAAGAACCTGTTTTAAGGACGGTTAAGGCCGTCTCACCTTTAATTTCTCATACTTCTTAGAATAGGCTTCCATAGCTTCCTTGATTTGCTCTGGGAGCTCTAGCTTCTCCTCCTTCAGTGGTGGCCAGAACTCACTTGATAGGATAACAGCAATGAGGCTGAACGGTGGCCTCTCTTCCTCTGGGAGCTTTTCTTCTTCATCACGAATGTTGGCATTAATGCGTCGTGAGTCAGCCATATCCTGGAAGAGGCAGAGGAAGCTGAAGAGACTCCATCTCTTCTAGGAGAACACCGAACCTTAGTAAAGGAGCTTAAACAAGGTGTCTAACATTTCTGCAAATGATGATGGAGACTTTGGAAAGGTTATAATCATCCATGTCCTCTAGACACCAAGAACACGAGGGAATGGGCTGCTACCTAGTTAGAAATACCTGTGGGAGGTTGGGTATGGGTTTATGGCTTTAACACTAGCCTACACTGGAGTCCCTCCAGACTGATGACTTCTCACAGTGCCCCAAGGGAATCAAATCCCAGACTCCCACCCTGGGGGGTCAGAAGTTCTTCTACTGCCAGAATAGAGTAGTCTCCTGGCAAGAGAGACAACAGTACCAGAACGGCCATCCCCAGAGTAAATAACCTGATGCACAGAGCTTCCAGAACAGACATGATTTTTAATCTTCTGCCTGTCACAATTCTAGCCCCATGCTGGGATCCTGGGAACCTCTCTTCCCTTTAAAGGCCCTTTCTAGGTCACTCTTTTAAGACACTCTCCTTCCCCACTGCTTCAGGAGTCCAAAAAAACAAGATCTGAATAATAAAAAGTTACTTTTAACATGACTTCACAATAGTGCATTTGCGCTTCACCAAATCGCAGCTTCAGCAGTTCCACATTGCGGATTTCCCTGAAAAGAGAAAGAAAGGATCAGGCACTGATCCCTCAGACAGACTAGCCTGACTTCCACCCCTCTCAACTGAGCCAAAAACCAGTGCCTGTCACAAGGGTCCTATCGGGACTAGAAAGCCCCACAGGGTATGTTGTCTAAAGAAGGATCCTCCCAGCATCTACGTGATGAACAGGCATTTCCTATGCAGGCCAGGATCTTTTTGAAGCCATTGCATCTCTCTCATTTGGAACCTGACTCTCACAGCAACCCTCTTGACAACACTGTACAATTCCAGCATTTGGGGAGCCATTCACTTGAGACTGTTCATCAATCTCATGACGTAGCTTCCACCAATTGCACTAGCAGGAAAGCTATTACAGCTGTTGAATCAAGACAGATAACTGGGATACAGTCGAAGTCCCCGAGGCTTCATGTGTTTGATCTTGACACCTTCTGCTGATCCTAAGCAGCCTCTGTATGTCAGAAGCACCAGAAGAGATGGGACAGAGCTCAAAGGGTATCAGTGTCTCCAACCTGGAGGGTCAAGGGCAGGACCGAGCAGGGAAAGTCAGTTGTGAGATGAGCCCAAGTGCATAACTAAAACAGAGAAGATTGCCAAAGACACTTCTGATGCCAGCAATGGCCTTTCGTAGGACTGTGTCTGTAGCACAGTATTAGGTGGCTCTACCTGGAAAACCCTGGGGTTGTGTACACAACCCTCACCTCTCAGCACTGTAGTTGAACTGATGTAGCAGCCGGTCAGCAAGAAGGGTGCGGTATTCATTGATAAACAGGTCCTTGCTTCCATAGATGCTCACCAGCAGGCTGATGATGTCTGAGGACCGACGCTTGGAACTTGATTTCCCTAGTGAAACAGAGAAGAAAACAGTGTGAGATTAACAAAGCGCTGCCCCCGCCCAGCTCTGCTCTCAAGGACTAGCAGAAAAGCTGCTCAAGACTATAGAGAAAAAGGGGCAGTGAGCTGACAGGAGATTTAGTCTCAGCATCTAACCTGGATCTGCATCAACAGGGTCAGGAACCCAGTCCCCTGGTTCTGCGATGTCATCATCACTTTCCTGACCATTCTCTAGTGTCACTGGGTCAGCTTTTGAGAGCTCATTTGCAAGATCACCAGAGCCCTCCGCATCCCCCGTGAGACCAGCCACAATTTGCCGCACAGTGTCTTCCCGAGTCCTGTCAAAAGGCAAGGCAAGCAGAGCAAGAGAAGTGAAGGGAAGAGGAAAGGGATGGAAAGACTGTCCTGCCAGCCTCTTACCTCAGATACTTCCTGATGGGCTCACAGGCAACCTCCAGGATAACCATGGAGGGATCAAGCTCCCGCAAGGCCTTGATGGCCGAGATATACAGGGTAATGATGTCAGACGTGTTGACTCCTACAATAGAAGGGCAGAGGTGTCCCTGAGCACACACTAACAGTGTGAATGTAGGAAAGCCTGTTCCATGCTCAGTTAGATCTGAGGAGCTGAAGACAAAGGCTTTAACAGCCATACTCTCCTAGGCAAAGGCAGATATTACATCCACTTGATTGAGAAACAAACTACAACCAAAAACACAGGCTCAAAGACTACCATAAACCAGCTCAGCCCAGACTGAGCATCAGGAGCACAGATGACTAATGGCAGAAGAATCTTCGCCCACCTGAACCAAAGCTAAGCTCTAGCTCAGTTCCTCACTGTACTGCAGAAAGGAGGTAACATGGGGGTGGGATATAATTAGCTACTACTGCCCATGCACACTTCAACATGAGAGCACGAGATGCAAAGAACCAAACTGCTTTCATTGCACAAGAAATGAGATGACAGCTGCCAGCAGATCCCCACTCACGTCTAAGCTCCTTAAATCCAGTCACGTGTGACATACACAAAGATCTAAAACCCACCGGGATGCAAAAGTCGCATTTCCAGAGCACTTTTCAGGGAGCTGAGCAGCTGCTGCCTCTGATTAGTCCTCTCCAGGCAGAACTTGAGGTCCTCCACTGCAGGTTTTGATTCTGGAAAATCTATAGACCAAGCAGTGATCAGAAACAGTGCCAAGCTCCATGGGGAGGCAAGAGGAGATAGAGGGCACAATGGTAGGTGAAGGCAGATCTACAGTTCAAGACAAGTCCAAGAGTGAATAAACATGGAATGGGTTGCTCCTACCTCGAATAATGCTGAAAAGCTCCTCAATGCGCATGCTGGCATAGATGCGGTAGAAGAATCTTTGGACGTGGCACCTCCAGCGTTTCAAGGTGTTGTTAGCTTCTGGAGTGGAGCGAGCCAAGGGACTATCTTGCAAGAAAACTCTGCTGAGCCAACCAATCACCTTCTCAATCCACTACACGAGGAGAGGAACAAAACAGGGATGGTGAACACCAAACCTGGAGGCACAACCATGTCCCACACTTACCCATAAGGAGGCAGTTATTACAGCAAGCTGAAATGAGCAGCTAGCCAAGAGCCCCACCTCCAGCTGTGATCCAAATGTACCCAGGTCTGGCCACAGCCAGAAAAAGCCTCATGGGAGAAGTTAAGACACTAAGTTAGAACAGAGGAACACCTAGACCTTTAACTGACGATACAGACTAGGCAGAGGTGTATGATAAAACAAGGAGTGACTGAGAACTGCATCTTATAATGCACCCACAGCTTTGGTGTCATGATGCCATGAATTTGCTCCAGTGCCCTTAATAAATCTTTACACAATCTACAGGTCATCTGAAAACACTTTAAGTCAAATAAATGAAAGGCTTGCACAGTTTTAAAGAGAATTAAATACAAAAATCACTGATGCTTGCGGACGACTCATAAAATGACAAAGCAGTAAACAACAAGGAAACTAGGACGACCCTACAGAGCCGTATGGTTTGCTCGGTCACCAGACTGCGTGCACTGTTGTTCAGAATAGGCCAGCGCAAGGTTATGCACCAAGGAACAAGGAATGCAGAGCAAGCTGGCACAATGGACACTGTGTTTTGAAAAAGCAATAACCCTGAGAAGTTAAAGGTCATGCTGGGTAAACAACTCAGCATGAACTCGAGTCTTTTGCTGCCAGCTAACACTAAGTTCTGGGTAGGTGCAAAGAAGGATTTTAATTCTGCATGCAGCCCACTGGGTGAGAGTGGTACCAGAACATCACCTCCTTTTCTATTTTAAAGGCACACTGAAAAATTGGAAATAGAACAGGCAATAGCTACACAAATTCAAATTACAGATCCACCTACACAGAAAAAGTCCCATCTAGCCTCTACGGGTAGATGAGACTATTGCATTCATGTAGTTTAGAACACAACAGAAATTCCTTCATTAATACGGATATAACCAGGTCAAACATAATGGCCTACTACTTATAAGCCAGGGAAGCCATTCGGATTTAATGCTAGGGGAAGACTAGTTTTAACCACCTCTTCTGCCAGTAATGGTGAAAGCCACAGTCCAGACATAGGCATTTTCAGTAGAATTTACTTTCAGCTTGTGTAGCTGCTTCTGTTGCTGCACATCTCCAAGGGAAGAGCCCTTGCCCCCGCACACCTTACCTCCTGGAACTCATTTAAGAAAGAGCGCTCATATTCGCCCCTGCATCTTTGCTCCATCCTCTCCTCTATCATCCGGTGCAAGATCGTGGTGACGGCGTCGGCGCTCACTCTCTCTAGCAAGTTTAGCCGGCGGCTGCAGACACAGAGAGATGCAAAGGTATAAGCAAAAAAAATATGATTCCATCCTATCTAATTACTATCATGCCCCTGTATGGTAAATAGATACAAGCAAGGCTCTTACCTTGAACACTCTAGCAGCCTGAATAGGAGCACTACGTTACTGCTGTCCCACCTCCCTCAGAAATTTTATTTTCTAGCCATCAAAAGCTTTTTCACTTATTCTAAGGTTCCTTCTTTTTGCAGACAGGAGATAGAGGAAGGCATTCCTTAGTGCAAGAGCAAGTTATTTTCACATCCAGCAAAAGGAACCTTCTGTCAAAGGATCAGTTCCTTTTGCTGGATGTGAAAATATCAACTACCATTTATTAAGTGTCTGCAAAAACTGTATGGGAGAGTCACTACCCCGTAGTATGATACAGCCTGACTTCACGCATAGCTCCACTACTTTTGAGACATGTAGAAAATTTGCTGTTGCTCCCCTGTCTGGACCATGGGCTTGTTCTCCCTACCACCCATTGCCTACGTACAGGATGTCGTTGAGCTGCTGGAACTGCTCCATGGCTTTGGGGCACCAGCACTCCTCTCTCTTGCTGCTGCAGCCTGCACACAGCAGGCTCTCTCCTCCACCCTCTTCTGTATCACTTTCCTGTTCGTTTTCACTCATGCTGCTCTCACACTCGTTCATTCCATCCTCTCCTTTCTTCCACTGCTGCATGTATATCCTGAAAGTGCGGCTATAGAACTGCTGGATCATCTCCTGGAAGCACTGCGTTGTGGAGAAAAAAAGAATGGCTTTGAACATGGTGTAGACCTTCTCTTGCAGCATTTGAGTGCCTGTTCCCCGAAGCAAGCCTGCTTTGGTCCATTTCTCCAGAAGTTCAAGGCTGTTCAGGTAGGGGTCCAGGCGGCACTTGAGAAGACAAAATGCATCCAGAAGAAGCAAGGAGCACTGCTGCTCCTCAGCTGTATTTTCATATTGGTGAATGCCATTCCAAAACTCAGGGCCTATGTTTGCCTGGAGGTCTGTCTGCAGCACCTCGATGAACCATTCTTCTACAATCGTGTGCAGGTCATAGCACCGCAGCACATCAAGCGCTGCCCGCAGCTCACTGTCTTTCAGCGGCCCCACAGGATCAGATCTAGACACAGCCTAGAAATCAGAGGGGATAACAAGTTAAACACACCCAAGGACTTGCCAAGGGCAGTTGGGGCAGAAGGCGCTGCTCATTCCAGGCACTAAGGAGCAAGCACAAATGGTCTCTGCTGTAAAACAGCAGAGTAGATACTGTTTCTCTGTGGAGACCTGCTGGGCTCTCAACCCACTGATAAAACCAGCAATGCCATCCCTGTGGGAATTTGCCACCAGAACCACGAGCTGCTTGGATTGGGACATGCTCTGTTGATGGTAGTGCCATTGCAGGCCATGCAATCCTGAGAGACAGACTCTGGGGCAAAACATTCTTCTTCTCCATGAGGAATAGTCAGGGAACAGAGCCACAGCATGGATGGAGAAAGCAGCATATCCTGTGTGTAAAGCCCCACGTATACTGACCCGGCCAGTGCAGCAGGCAGAAGAGAAGGGAATGACAAGCACGAGTCACCCCGTAGGCAAATCCCACCCCTGTCCCAGGCGTTTCCCTTGCCAGCAGTGGCAGCCCAATCAGCTTCCCCTGCCCCTGTGGCCGCACCACCCCCATCCGCAGGTCCCCGGAGTAAAGCGGACCCGGGAATGGGGGGCACAGGAGGGAGCAGGCTAGGCGCCCGCTGACAGGGCAGCCGTGGTGGCTGGTCCTCCATACCCGTGAATTTGAGCCTGTGGGTGGTCCTTCACTGCTGCTCTCCGCAGTTTTTCACGGGGGCAGCTCTCCACAGCCCATCCCTGTGGGGGACCCCTCGGGATCCCTCTACATTGCACGACCCGATCCTGCGGGGACCCTGGGCCTTGGCGCATCCTGGTGGTAGGAGGCCGACCCCAAACCCCCATCCCCAGGGGTCCCCCGGGGCCTCCTCTCCCCAC